ATTAACAAAACTTATGATATTATTTTATATTATATATTTTTGAGAATTTCAATCGTTTTATTTTTTTATCGAATAAATCTTAGAATAATATAAATTGACATTCAAAGTTATTAATATCGCGATCGGTTTTATCTTTTCAAATTAAAGATAAAATCCTGTTATATTTTCATTGAGAAATTACCTAGTTATTTTTTTCTGTATCTATTATTGTGTATATTGTTGCAATTAAGATTTATTTTAATCTGCTTTCTTTTGATATGGCCTTCTCATTCTATGTATTCATTCGGTTTTAACGGAAGATAAACGAAACAACGTTAATGAACTCGAGAAAAATGTGTGTGTAATATCTTTATAACTCATGTTCCTTTTAGATTTTCAGATGTTGTTGGAGCAAGAAATACTCTGGGAAAACAAACGCTTTTTAAGATACGATTTAGGGGTGTACATAATACACGTCGTATAATAATGTAACTCTACAGTGTTAATGTACATAATTAAAGAAATATTCAAAATCATGATTATTTACGAATAAGAGAATAATCAATGCAGCTGAAAAGATCACATTTACCAGGAAATAGAAGCGCAATTCATCTCTTTGAACGGTCCAAAGCAACTCTGTAACTCATTAATGACGCACATGAAATAATAAACAGGATATCACCGATATCGAGAAATTTTTCATACCACCATCATTGTGATATTTATAACTCGCTTTTGTACTATTCATTCTAGCTATTTCTATCTACATAAAAACTCGTTTTAAATAAAAATAAATGGGTAAAAATTTTATTTGGCATTTTTCTCAAAAATGTAAATTCTATCGCGATCAGAGAGAAGAGAGAGAGAGAGAGAGAGAGAGAGAGAGAGAGATATTGCGAGATTAGAAATATTAATCATATATTTTAAAATATTCAAGATGATCATCTTTGATCATCGAATGAATTGTTTTTTCTTATGAAAAATGAAACTGAAGCTCATAATGAAAGAATTATAGCTATATATTAATGTAACATATATATATTTCTTATCATATCAGAGACCAGTTAAAAAATAAGCAAAAATATAAGCAACGTGATAGAGTAATTGAATGATATTCCAAACTGCGCTAATAAGATAGCGACTGAATGTAAACGCAAAGAGATGTAAACTCCATAGAATCACGCAAAAAAACGGTTCGTACGAATGGAATATTCGTTCTCTTTGTTCATTCGGTATCATATAGTTTGACGTACCTGTGACCGTGTATCTGATAGTCTATTATAATTGTATTCTGGAAAATGCATAAATAAAACATCCTATTTTTATATAGCTGCACTTTAAATCCATGTCTTGACGAACTGACATTAAGAAGAGAAATATTGAAACACAAATGGTTTCCGTTATTAAAATAATCTATTCTCGGAATTATTATATGTGACTTACGTTTATTTCCTTTGAATATTTATTCAAGGAAAGGATAAAATAATCTTTTTAGTTCATCTCGTCAATGATCAAAGAAAGAAGTCATATGCAGAAAATAGTACATTATCGTTTCAATAAATAAAGAGTGGATGTGGTAGTTTATCTTTTTTTACTTATAATTTTATTTATAAAGAAAAATATAAATGTGATGAAAGGAATAACAGGATATTCAAATACCACACTACTAATTCAGATAATCAGTTTTATGTACATGTTGTAAATTATATGATAGAGAACGTATAAATAAGCACGTTGAAATTCTTTCATGTAAACACCGTGCATTTATTTCAGTTAATATAAATATTAATTTGTATATGCGCTATATACGTGTTACTTTCACGGCCGATAAGTTAAATGTACTTTACCTTTATATTTGTTAATTTTTTCCCAAGCCGAAAAATTAAATGTTTTTACGTCCATTTTGTCTATGTACAGCTTTCCCTGAAAAAAACAGGAAGATTACCTTCTACATAAATTACTTTTTATTCCGCTTATTCTTCGTGTTTCTAGTGCTATATGAATATATACGCATTTCCCTTCCTCCCCTAACTCTTACCTGTAGATGATCGTATTCGTGTTGCGCTATTCTAGCGGCCCATCCACGTGCTCTCCATGTGAACTGTTCAGCGGAAGCGTTCAAAGCCGTAATTTCTATTTCATAGGCTCTGGGTACAGCAGCGGTAAATCCTCGAATGCTCTCGCATCCCTCGTAAAAGGTGATAGATGTATAATCTATAATTTTTAATTCGGGGTTGATAAAAATCGTCATCGGGATGATACTCATTTCCTGAGCCTTCTTGACAGTCTCCTCGATCCCCTTCATGTTCCTCTCCGTGCACTCGATGGCGAATATTTGCCACGGGAGTCCGATTTGAGGTGCGGATAAACCATATGCGTTATATGTCCGCATAACGCTTGTTAAATGTTTGATTAGCTGAATAATTAAAAGTGATGTAATAGTAATATATTTCTACATCTTTTATATTGAATCATAAGATTTTTAACTTCAAATAATAAAAATTATCAGCAACAAATAGATGAAAAAATGTGTGATAAAGTTAATTAAATTATTCGTTGACGCGAAGAAAACTCTTGTACAAAAGTATTTCTTATGTTATTTAAAAAAATATTTTTGCAATTTATAATTACTATTTTAATATTATTAAAAAGAAGTGCAATTGTCCAGCAACAAAAATAGTAATTGATTGATTGGAAAAAATATGTACGTTTGCGATGAGGCAAATAATCATATTTTAATTCACGTGGTACTTATTTCCTTTTGTTAATTTTCGTATCACATAATTTTTGTGTTTCGAATTTATTTTTATTTCTAAAAAAATCATAACATTTTCCTTAAAAATTGTACATTTATATTTTCTCGTAAATGTCCATTATTGATATTTTCTCTTTTATTTATTTCAATATTCTGCAGTATTAAATAATTTATCTATTTGTCAATTATATTTGCAAGCATTATGACAAATTTGAACTTGTTTCTCTCAGAGCAGCTCATTACTTTAAGAACATTTTCAAGAATTCAAGCAACCTTATTCGCAAATGAATACCTTTTGAAAGTCCGCCATTCTTACGATTTCTGGTTCTATCTTCATGGCGCAATCGCGTAAAACAGGATCGCCAACTTGACAAACATGTGTGTACGGTAACCTAACGGAGTTCATGTCGAACAGTCGCTCGATTGTTTCCTTCATTTTCAGAAAACTTATGAAACGTTTTTTGACACTGTTTTTTCCAGCATGCAGAGTCGCATTAGCGAAATGATACACTCGAAACATTGTTTCTACACGTGCTCGTATACTACCGTTATATATAATACTACGTAAATTCTAAGATTGAGGTTATTCACTATCTGCCACTGATAGTTTCATTCATGTTTCTCAACCTGATGATGACGAAATACCAAAGCTCCCAGAAAGCATCGAATAAAGTGTAATAAAGTCCATTACCAATAAGTGATTCCGATGTCGGGAGAAACTTGTCCAATGACATAATGATAATGACCGTAGCCGATAAGAAATTATTAAATTTAATAAATTAAAATCTAAATTATTAAATTTTTAATAATTAACTAATTAAACTGAAACAAATATTATTGCAATTGTTGCATTAATCTATTAATTTGTTATTATAAATAAAAACATATAGGAATTAACAATTAATATATATTTACTTACATTAATAGAATAAACAAATATTACAATTAAAAATGTAACTATATATCATTAATTTGACCATAGTTTATATTTTTATCTACATAATATTTATCATCTTTATTAAACAATCTTTTTTAAGATATCGTTTGCCGGAAGAGAGAACGAATTGTATTAAACAATAATTACAACGTGTTATTATCATAAAAGTTTCGCTGTAATAAGCATTTAACCAGCATTTAATATTTAAAAAAAAACATACTATATATTTTCAAAATTAAAATTAATTATTATATACATGTATACAGAAATACACTATAAGGATACATGTGATATAATGATATTTGTAATTTAAATTTTATAATCGATAAAAATTCGGAAAGAGTCGCTTCATATGCAAAAGAATATATTTACCGATAAATTGTTTTTTTTTTTATTTCTTCGGTATGAAATGTATAGGTATATCTTCATTTGGTCGTAAAATAATGGATCCGCCATACTTAACCATATCGGGCGTTTTCACACTTTTCACCCTCCACTTTCTGAGAATAGCAGTTAACACGGTTTTCTCTTCGAGCATAGCGAATCTCTGGCCTATACAATTTCTCGGTCCAGCGCTGAATGGAACGTAGGCATATGGATTCCTATTTGCCGAGTTTTCCGGAAGGAAGCGATCCGGATCGAATTTATCCGGATCTGGCCATACAACCGGGTTTCGGTGCGTTAACAAGATCGCCAATACAACCGTAATACCTTTCGGAAACGTATAATTACCTGCATTAAAAGAAAGAATGTATATTATATTAATACTATTTCGAGCAGCCCTATTGGTTGACAGAATGTTGGCCAGACGTTAGCTATTGTTGGTTCAATATTGGCTAATCGATATCCTTGTACTACTTGTACTACTTGGGTTTATTTATATATAATTATAATTATATATTTATAATTTTTGATAATGTAAATATTTTTATGATCCAAAATTTATACTTTTGTTATGTATGTTTGTTATATTATGTTAAGTTATTAATCTCTAAATTGCATCTTTAATAGATAAAAGACTTTCGAAGACATTTCTAATTTTTAAGCTACAATACTATATTTAAAAAAAAATTACGAATGAATTTATATATTAGCAAAAATTTAATTTCTATAAGATTTTTTTGCTAATTGCGAGACAAAATTATGTCTTACCGACTGTTACATCTTCTACTAATTCTCTCGTGATCATAGGTACACTTGGATATAATCTGAGCGTCTCTTTTATGACTCTGTCGAGATATTTTAATTCCGACAATTCTTTTACAGTAGCTGGTGTTTCCGAATCCCCGAAAACCTCCTCAAGTTCTTTGTGAACTTTTTCTTGATGTTCAGGATGACTGCCCAAAAGGAACAGTGCCCAAGTCATGGCTACTGCAGTTGTGTCATGGCCCTATTACATTTTCGTATTATTTTACACATTTTGTCTATGTATAAATATCAACTAAAAGATGCTAAAAGAAAACTTTAACTCTAAAGAATTAACAAATTATAATACATTAAATTTCGGCTCTCTCACCTCAAACATGAACGTATCAACTTGCGCTCTCACTTCGTCGTCGGTTAACGGGGTGTCGTCTTTTTCATTCTGATCTAGTAATAAATCTAGAAAAGCTTTTCTCTTTCGTTTACCTGAAATAGCAAATTTATTAGACAAAGAAATATTTATTACTGTATAGAGCTAACAAAAATGTTGCATAATATATATAATTTACAATTGTACCTATATCAGAATCATCATTTTTATCTTCAAATTCCACATGGCCGTTTTGTTTTTCTCGGGCGCTCTTTTTTTTAATTATCACCTAAAGTATATCATATAAATATATATATGTTCGTTGTGAATATGAAATTTTTTCAAATGAAATAACGTGAGATATTTTGTTTAATGAAACTTTGACGATGTTTTAATTTCTTAATTTATATAGATATTATCAGCATACGACTTACCTCTTTTGTAAATCTATGCAATATATTAAGCGCTGATTTATACTGCTTTCCTGCAGGAAACGAATAATACAACAAGTCACTCCAATGCCATGGTCGAAACAATCGTTCAAGTATTAACGTAGAAGTTCTGAAAGTACGATTAATAAATTCTTGATATCATTAAATCATTAATAAAGCATTAGATATTTGATTAATAATGGTAATACAAGATTTTTGGTAACTAACTTATGTACTGTCGACGTATATTCGGTTACAACTTCTTGGGCACGAACATTCACGCCCATTGCCGTTTCTGCAAAATAATAATTAATAATGTTAATCTTTTCACATTTACATTTATAATATTAAAATTAATATTTATAAATAATATTGTTACATAAACTTATTACAACAATATTATAATAATTTGTTTAGTTAAAAATTTGTTTAGTTAAAAAGAAACAGAAAAATTTTATTAATCATATGTAAATTTATTTATAGAAACATAAATTTATTATTAATGTAAATAAATACTTTTGCTAACTAATAATTATTGCTGAAGTAAATTAGTTTACTCCTGATATGTATCATTGTAGTTAAATCAGCATTCTGTTCTTTAAGATGATAAGAAGTTTTATTATTGTTATGAAATAATGCAAAAATCAAAAAATACATTCAGAAAATTTAAGTTAGTACTTCTATTTTTTTTCTATTTTCTAGAAGATAGTCGATAAAATTTACTACAAAAATATGAGTGCAGCATTTTTTTCAACATATCAAGTATATCATAATTGAAATTACATTACTAGATACATTATTAGATACAAAATATTATGTGTTATAAATATAATTAATTATTACCGCATATAATGTCGAGAGCAACATTGATAATAAATGGAAAAATATTAATAGCTTTCCCTGGATCTTTTCTTATTTCTTTCTCGAGACACTTTGTCAAGATCTCTGCTTTTTCAGACAAAATCACAGCAAATTGATTTAATATACTAAAATGGAACGTTGGCCCAATGAGTCTCCTATCATGGAACCATTGTTTACCTAAAGCAACATGAAAATTAATACATTTGTTAAAGTATTGCAAAAAAAAACAAAGCAAATAAATTACAAAACTAGTTAAATAATGAAAAATACATTTTATATAAGCTCCTTCAGTTTTTAAAATAACAAATTTTATGTTTTTTCTATATATCTGGATATTAGCAAACTAAATAAGACAAACATAGAAAATTACACAATACATTTTCTGACGTGCAAATGTTTACATGAATAATCATTACAAATGTACAGTTACGCAAAAAATTTATTTAAATAAATTGCAAATTTAAAGAATAGATAATTCTCTTTTTTTTCTTGAAAAAAATATATTGATATTAAAGGAAGATATAAAACAGACAGAGAGAGAGAGAGAGAGAGAGAGAGAGAGAGAGAGAGAGAGAGAGAGAGAGAGAGAGAGACGACGACGACGACGCGCGCGCGCGCGC